ATATACAAAATATAAATCAGTTTTATAGTCACATTTATTACTTGAGCAAACAACAAAACACGCGTGAGATTTTTTTATTACTGTAATTTTGTTAGGATTGGAAGGTAGTAAATTACAAAATACGGATAAGAAAAATTTGCCATTGGGTAATTCATTATGTTTATTATCTTTCTGTTCTATATTCCGAAATAAAAAAATCGATTTCAATGTGTTTAATTTTCAGACTTTTCGCGTAAACTCAATTTTTTTCTGCAATTTATTCTTAAATAAATAAGAGGTCACAATTTTGCAAATTAAGATGAAAAAACAACAAAACGGTGATTTAACTCGTTCCGATACTTTATTGGTTCGAAGCGTCACAACGCATGCGCAGCGTGAGATCTTTCTTATGGAAAAAACGCACCCAAACATGAGGTCCAGCATTTGGTTTTACCAAATCATCCGTGGCCCATTGGATTCAAAGGTTTTAACGAATGCGATCGAACGATTTGTTTTGAAAATTCCATTGCTACAAACCCGGTTTGATTATAGATCTGAGAGACTTTGGCAGACTTACAACCGCAGTATTCGTCAGAAAATAAGAACAATTGATGTCAGCACTCATGCCGAGCCATTCTCGGAAGCGTTAAAAAAAATGAAAAAAGCTGCAAATCAATCATCCCTCATAACCGACGATAAACTATATGAGTTTGCGATCTACAAAGTCAATAAAAATATGCATGTGCTTTACGCACAATTTCACCACGGTATTATTGATGTGAGATCTTGGGCAACATTGGAATCTTTTATCGCTACCGCCTATAATGATTCAAAACAAGATAAACCAATCACCGCATGTCCTGCACTACAGTTTGATGCACTTGCTACCGCTGATGCCACCTACCATGCTTCAGATGACCATAAAAAAGACGAACAATTTTGGAAGGCTTATGTTCAGCATTTTAAACACCACGCTTATCCACAACGAAACATCGATTCTTTTGAACAAAAAACGCCATATCATTGCATACAGACAATATGTGCTGAAGAACGCGAAAAACAGCAGCAAACTGCTGCTATATTAAACATTTCCGAATCTAATTTTTACATTGCTGTTTCGGCTCTGTGGTTTCGAAGCATTTTTCGAAATGAGTATGTGAGTCTCAGCTTATCAACTCATGGTACACATTTGACTCAGGAGATAGGTATGACATCAAATGTAGTGCCTTTGCTGTTACACATCCCTGAACATGCTACGCTCACAGAAACCCTAATACAAGTGGCTCAAAAAACAGAATCAGTGTTGAAACATCAGCGCTACCGAGTTGAGGACATCCGCCAACATGCAAATTACGGTCCAAATAACAGCTTTGGTCCTTACGTCAATGTACTGCTTTTTGATCATGGCGATGAACTTGAAGGTTGTGACTGTTCGTCTCACTTCGGTGCAAACATTGATAGAAACGATTTGCAAATAACATTCTGGACAGATCGACCAAACGGTCGTCTTGAGATTCTGTTTGACGGCACTCAGGAATGCCAACCAAAAGAACAACTCGTTGCTTTCAGGGATCTTTTAAATCTTATTTTGGATTTGGCTCTAAGTTCGCCCAGCACTACAATCGCCACATTTGAAAAGCTATGGTTTACACGTCATCCATTTAATGTTTCAAAAGACATAATGGAAGGAACTACAGCATTTGCTGAAACACTTCACCAATATCAAACGATCAGTATTCCACCCAATCTGATTGCAGTAGACAGCACGATGATTACTCCGGAAATGCTGCCGCTTATCACTCTTTCTCAGACGGAGATTGATGCATTAATTGCACAGGTTCCGGGTGGTTTAGCCAATATTCAAGATATTTATGGGCTCGCACCGTTACAGCAAGGCATTTTATTCCATCATATGATGGCTGAAGACGGTGATCCATATTTGATAATAAATCGATTGCAATTTAAGGATCGAGCGGCACTTCAAAGCTATTCATCCGCTCTGCAACAAGTGATTGAACGACACGATATTTTGCGCACAGCCTTCGTCTGTGAAGGACTCAATGAACCAGCACAAGTTGTCTTGCGACACGTTCCCTCCCTACTCAACGAAATCAACCTGAATGATGATACCGATGAGCCGGCATTTGAACAATTAACAAACCGTTTCAATCCCCGTCATTATCGTTTGGATTTAAAACAACCACCGTTATTGCGTTTGCTTGCCGCACGAACTTCTGAAGGCAACTGGATTGCATTGGAACTGATGCACCATCTAATTGGTGATCATGCCACTTTGGAGAGGCTGTATACAGAAGTACATGCTATAATCGACGGTCAGAATGAGCAGTTGTTGAAACCTACACCTTTTCGCCAAGTTGTGGCACAAGCTCGTCTAGGTATTAATCAATCTGAACACACACAGTTCTTTGACGAGATGCTTGCCGATGTTGATACTCCGACCCTGGCTTTTGGCCTTATTGACGTACACGGAGAAATAATTGAATTCGATGAAGCATATTTAAAAATACCAGATGCCCTTTATGATCAGTTACGAGCAAAAGCACGAAACTTAAGAGTCAGTTTGGCTAGTTTATGCCATTTAGCTTGGGCACAAGTACTTGCTCGTACCAGCGGGAGTGAAACTGTAGTCTTCGGTACTGTGCTTTTCGGTCGTTTACAATCCGGAGAGGGGAATTACACTGCAATGGGGTTATTGATAAACACGCTACCGTTGCGATTGGATATGAATGAAACAACGGTCGAGACTGCTGTGCGCATCACTCATACACGGTTAAGTGCCTTGTTGGAACACGAAAACGCATCACTAGCGTTGGCACAACGTTGTAGTGGAGTGTCAGCTTCCCTACCTCTTTTTAATTCCCTATTAAATTGCCGTCATGCATCGCATATCACTCAGCCGTCCCATGGAGTGAGTATTCTCAGTAGTGAAGATGGAACAAATTACCCATTATCCTTGTCTGTTGACGACGATGACACATCGCTAATTCTTACAGCTCAAGTGGCATTGCCACTCGAATCAACACGAATCTGTGCTTATATGCAACAAGCTTTGACATCGTTGGCTGATGCATTAACACACACACCACAACAACCGGTGAGACAATTAAACGTCGTGCCATCGGAAGAGCGTGAAATGTTGTTGCACGACTGGAACCAAACAGCAGTAAAATTTCCACCAGTTCGCTGTCTTCATCAGCTATTTGAAGCACAGGTTCATCGTGATGGAAAAGCTATTGCTGTTGAATGTGATGGGGAATCATTAAGTTATAGTGAACTCAATGCGAAGTCGAATCGAGTGGCATATTACTTAATAGCAAAAGGTGTAAAACCAGACGATTGCGTCGCATTTTGCGTAGAGCGTAGCTCGAAAATTTTCATTGCAATATTTGGAATTCTAAAAGCCGGTGCAGCCTATATACCGCTCGATCCAATCTACTCGAGTCAACGACTGATAAAGATTCTAGAGGATGCCAACCCAGTGTGTCTGCTAACAGATATAGTTGGTCAGAAAACACTTGGAGCCCATCAGATACCAATGCTGGATTTGGATGAAGCATTACCTGATCAACTGTCGGCTAATAACCCGGACCCAATCAAACTCGGACTCAGTTCAGCCCATTTGGCTTATGTCATTTACACCTCCGGTTCGACCGGAAAACCGAAAGGGGTAATGGTTGAACATCAACATATACTAAATTTAGCTCAAGCCATATCTCCACTGTTTGGTGTTACTTGTGAAAGCCGTGTTCTGCAGCTGGCATCTTATTCTTTCGATACCAGCCTGTGGGAAATTCTAATGGCTCTAAACGAAGGAGCTTGCCTTTGCCTGCCAAACAATGAAGTTCGACAGACAAGTATCGCGTTGTTTAATTACTTGATCGATGAAAAAATTACACATGCAGATATACCATCGGCTATGCTCCGAAACTTGGAAAACCCAAGTGTATTAAAAGGATTACAATCATTGAGTTTAGGTGCCGAAACACCTCATTTATCCGTGCTACAAAGTGCTGTTGCTTATACAACGGTTTTCAATGGTTACGGTCCAACTGAGGCAACGATATGTGTGACCATCTGGTTTTGTCCTGTAGATTTCTCGAGTCATTTCATTCCAATTGGTCGTCCAATGTCGAACATGCGAATTTACCTGCTAGATGCACAAGGCGAACCGGTACCATTGGGAGCCGAAGGTGAAATATATATTGGCGGTGCTGGCGTGGCTCGCGGCTATCTGGATCGACCCGACCTTACCGCAGAACGATTTTTACCTGATCCATTTAGTGAAAATCCTTCCGCACGCATTTATCGCACTGGCGATCGAGCACGTTATTTGCCTGATGGAAATTTAGTCTTTTTAGGTCGCACAGATCATCAACTAAAAATTCGCGGTTTCCGAATTGAACCCGGTGAAATTGAAACCCACTTGGTCGAACATCCTCTGGTACGTGAAGCAGTTGTTTTGTCATGGAAAAAAAATCCTGCTGCTGATACTCGACTGGTTGCCTATGTTGTTGCCGACGAAGATACATCGCTTCCTTTTAAGTTGCACACTTATCTTGCATCTTTGTTGCCTGACTATATGGTACCGACAGCTTATATTTGTCTTCCGTCTTTACCAATCACACCAAATGGCAAACTAGATCGATTTTCACTTCCACCTCCGGACGATAAAGCATTTGCTCGTCAATCATATGAAGCACCGCAGAACGAAACGGAGGAGAAATTGGCTGTACTCTGGAGTGAACTGTTGGGCATTGAACGCATCAGCCGGCACGATAATTTCTTTGCTCTGGGAGGCCATTCTCTGCTAATTGTACGGATGCTAGCGCAACTGCGACAAGCCGGACTGAATACCAGCGTCAGAAAAGTATTTGATACTCCGTCGTTAGCAGCACTGGCTGAAACTCTCGGCCAACACCAAACGATCAGTATTCCGCCCAATCTGATTACAGCAGACAGCACAAAAATTACTCCAGAAATGCTGCCGCTTATCACTCTTTCTCAGACGGAGATTGATGCATTAATTGCACAGGTGCCGGGTGGTTTATCCAATATTCAAGATATTTATGGGCTCGCACCGTTGCAGCAAGGCATTTTATTCCATCATATGATGGCTGAAGACGGTGATCCATATTTGATAATAAATCGATTGCAATTTAAGGATCGAGCGGCACTTCGAAGTTATTCATCCGCTCTGCAACATGTGATTGAACGACACGATATTTTGCGCACCATTTTTATATGGAAAAAACTCAGTGAACCAGCACAAGTTGTACTGCGTCAGGTTCCTTCGATACTTACCGAAATCAACCTGAATGATGATACCGATGAGTCGGCACTAGAACAATTAAATAACCAATTTAACTTGTATCACTACAAACTAGATCTGGCACATGCACCGCTTATGCGTTTGATTGCTGCACAAACACCTGAAGGAGACTGGATTGCATTGGAACTTACACACCATATAATTGTTGATCAGAACACATTAGAAAAAATGTATGCAGAAATGAAGACCATATTCGAACAGTTGAGTGAACAGTTGGCAACGCCTACACCTTTTCGCCACGTTGTGGCTCATGCTCGGTTCGGAGTTAGTCCAGAAGAGCATACAAAATTTTTCAGTGAAATGCTTGCCGATGTTGACACACCAACATTGCCGTTTGGTCTGAGCGACGTTTACGGTCGGTTTGAGATTGATGAAGCGCATTTGAAGCTACCGCAAGCTCTCAGCCATAAGTTACGGGCCCACGCAAAAAACTCAATAATCAGCTTAGCCAGCTTATGCCATTTGGCATGGGCAATAGTACTTGCTCATGCTAGTGGATGTGAGACAGTGGTCTTCGGAACTGTGCTATTCGGTCGTTTACAGGCGGGAGAAGAGAACGACAGTGCCATGGGGTTGGTTATTAACACGCTACCTTTGCGACTGGATATTGATGAAACCACCATCGAGGATGCTGTACGCCGTACCCATGCTCGGCTGAGTGCATTACTTGCACATGAACATGCCCCGCTGGTATTAGCACAACGTTGTAGTGGGGTGCCAGCTACTTTACCACTTTTTAGTGCACTATTTAACTATCGTCATAATCAGCCGACCGGAAAAGATGCAATAACATTTCCAGGAACAACTTTTCTGGACAGTGAAGAACGAACAAACTACCCATTAGTTATGTCTGTGGAGGACGACAGCCATGCCCTGGGTTTAACATCCCAAGTAGTGTCGCGAATTTCAGCAGCTCGAATCTGTGCTTATATGCAACAGGCTCTTATTTCTCTTGCCGATGCATTAACGCATACACCAAAACAATCAGTGCGAAAATTGACAGTGATACCAGCGGAGGAGCGTGAGATGCTTTTGCATACCTGGAACAAGACGGAAGTCACCTTTCCACCTGTTTGCTGTCTTCATCAGTTGTTTGAAGAACAGGTAGATCGTGATGGACAGGCGATTGCCGTCGAATTTGAAGGAAAAACATTAAGCTATGCAGAACTCAACGCACGAGCAAACCAACTTGCACATTATCTCATTGCAAAAGGTGTTAAGCCAGATGACCGCGTTGCCTCCTGTGTTAAACGTAGTACGAAAATGCTGATAGTTATGTTGGGTATTCTAAAAGCTGGTGGCGCCTATGTACCGCTCGATCCGTTTTACTCGAGTCAACGAGCATCAAATATTTTGAATGACGCTGATCCGCTATGTTTGTTGGCAGATGCAACTGGTCAAAAAGCACTTGTAGATCATTATGTTCCAGTGATTGATTTGGATGAGGCGTTATTTGATGGCTTTTCTGTTGATAATCCAAACTCGGTCAAACTAGGATTAACTCCCTCAAATCTAGCGTATGTTATTTACACTTCTGGTTCGACTGGAACACCAAAAGGAGTGATGGTTGAACATCAATCTGTATACAATTTGGCCTGTACTGTATCATCACCCTTAAGAATATGTTCCGAGAGTCGCATTATGATGTTTGCTTCTTGCGCTTTTGATGCTAGTATTGTTGATATCGTATCGGCTCTTACGAGTGGAGCCTGTCTCTGTTTGCCAAACGAAGAGGTACGCCAGACGGACACTGATTTGCTTGGTTATATTGAAACTAAAGAGATTACTCACGCCCATTTAACACCAGCTTTGCTACGGAATACGCAAAACTTAAGCAGCTTAAAGGGACTGAAGGCTTTAATATTGGGTGGCGAAACGCCTCCGTTATCTTTGCTAAAAAGTGCGATTGTTCACACTTCCATTTTCAATGTATATGGACCGACAGAAACGACAATATGGGCAACCACATGGTCATGCCCGGTGGAATTCGCCAGCCATTCAATACCAATCGGTCGTCCACTATCAAATGTACGAGTTTACGTGTTGGACGCACAAGGTGAACCGGTTCCGCTGGGATCCGAAGGAGAGTTGTATATTGGGGGCGCTGGTGTAGCACGCGGCTACCTCAATCGACCTGAACTTACCGCAGAACGTTTTATTCCTGATCCATTTAGTGAGCATCCAAATGCACGCATGTACCGTACCGGTGATCGAGCCTGTTATCTTCCTGATGGAAATTTGGTTTATTTGGGACGCACCGATCAACAGGTAAAAATTCGTGGTTACCGAATTGAACCTGGCGAAATTGAAGCCCGCCTCGTTGAACATCCTTTGGTGCACGACGCCGTTGTTTTGTCATGGAAAAACCAGCCTGATACTGATGCGCGTCTAGTTGCATATGTAGTCACCGAACAAGATACATTGCTTGCTCAGAATTTACGCACCTATCTGGCGGCTTTACTGCCTGACTATATGGTGCCGGCGGCTTATGTTTGTCTTCCGTCTTTACCACTCACACCAAACGGAAAATTGGATCGACGTGCACTGCCAGCTCCAGACGATGAGTCGTTTGCCCGTCAAATGTATGAGGCTCCACAAGATGGAATGGAAATGAAACTAGCCACACTCTGGAGTGAACTGCTAGGCATTGTACAAAGCAATGGACCTTGCGCAATAGCTGGTTACTCCTCTGGAGGAATTCTAGCTTATGAAATAACAAAACAGCTTATTAACAGTGGCTATCCAGTTTCTTTCTTAGGTTTGATCGATACTCATCCTACCAAAGGATTGAGTGAGTTCAGTGAAACTGTTTTGTTTTTATATTACATCGCATTAAAATCTCCATTTTTCAAAACGTTAAATGATACAGTGTGGCTATTGCGCGTCAGTAATTTGTCTCTTAACGAAGCAATTGAAGAGGTAAAGGCCAAGAATGAAGATTTAACAAATGAAGATATCGAATGGGAAGCATTGCTATCGAAACAACGAGCACATTATTATAACATATGCGACGTGTACAACATTGATTCATTGCCAATTACAGTAAACCTATTTAAGGCAACCGAGTTGGATCTGGTAATAATTAATGCCAATGATGAAAATATGTATGAAATACTTCGAAATGATTTTGATAAATCTTTTAATCATCGAAAACTTCGATGGGAAGATTTCCATCTTCCAAGCTTGCACGTAATTCCTGTGAACGGCACTCATGTGACAATGTTGACAGATCCAAACAACCGGAGTTTATTGGGAAGAAAACTTACTGATTTGCTACTCGCACAACAAACATAAATGTAAAAATGATATCATCTAGAAAATTGAGTTCCAAAACTTGGCAAAAATCAAATAAATTCGAATGGGCTGAATAGAAAACAATAGCCCACATTTTATGTACTGCTAAAAATAAAACATCAACTGATTTTCAATTCAAAGCATTTATTTTCAATTTAAAGTTGTTAAAAATTAAGTATTGAACAGTAAAAAACTGTAGTTCATAGAAAATAAAATAAAAATTTATATAAATTAATTAAATTGGCTTCGTGTCTTGTAGATGATAATGTTAAAATAACTTTCAATCATTTATTTGTCACTTTTGGAGATACTTAAAGAGCTAATGTGACCGTTCGAATAGAAAAAGTTTCTTCTTACAACTAAAAATGGTAAGTGCGACTATTCATATTTGAATCAAAAGTCTCTGGCTCTCCTGAACATCATTTAGCGAATTTATAAATTCCAATCATACGATTCGATTCGTTTAATTTCAACTGATCCGAGATCTGTGTTGCCATTTTTGGTTGCCCATTTCGTTGTGGCGAAAACATCATCTGGTACATAAATCGTAACTTTTTTTGCTCCGTCTAATTTTTCACGTTCGGCATTCAAAAACTCCAGTTTCAGAACATTTGATTTAAATTCGGTTTTCGGGTGAAATTTGATTTTTTTCACATTTTTTGCTTGTTGAATGATTGGCAAAATATCGAAAGCCGACACTGTATTCAAATACAGTCGTTTCACATTCACAACATCATTACATAAAAGAGTGCACATTTCATTGTTTTTATAGTTTTCGTACAAGTCAAAGAAAATGCTTTGATCTATTTTCATTTTAGCTACACCAATTGATTTTGCGATTGCGTTTAATGACTTATTAAGGCATTGATCATTTTCCAAGGTATGATTTGAAGAAGCACCAATGCGTAACCGTTTGTAGAAACCTTGAATTCGAAGTTGTTTCAACAAATCCCATAATATTTTCAATTCGTTCCCTTTACTACCACGTTCGTATCGAAAACATTTAACTACAAATGCATGCAGATCCACGAATTTCAATTCAAAAGTATCGAGCTTTATTTTAGACTTGAGCAATGCATCTTTATTCGGCCATACTGAATACGAATCGTACGAAAAACTTCGTAGATTTGGATTTCGTTTGAAAAATGTGGACAATTCATCAATTTTCCAAGAGCACTCCAAATTCAAATCTAAATGCTCCAATTTTGGATAGTGTTTCTTCAACCACTTGTGTCCATAATGAAATTTTACACTAGAAAATTGTATGCTTATGCGTCGTATGTCTTTGCAATGCTGTAGTATTAGCTTATAAAAATCTTGATCTTGAACGACACAGTGTTGTAGTTTTAATACTTGGATTTTTCGCAAAATTTTTCGAATACATTTGACATCCTTTTCATTCAAAGTTAGATTCGAGAACGAAAGTTGTTTGACAGACACCAATTTGTTGGCATGCGATTTTAAAGATACGAACGCATTTAAATCAGAGCTTTCCATTGCGATTGAGATGATGACAGGAAGGAAACCTGGTATCGGAATACACTTCTCGTCAATATTTTCTGGACTTGAATAAACCGCATAAATGCCATCACTTTTACACACAATTCTACCGGCTGAATGATTTTGTGTGAAAAATTCGCCCGTCATTTGTTGCATGGATTTACAAGTTTGGCCCAATGAATGCAAGTCTAGCAGCGACAGATATTCGAATAACTCCTCGAAACAATGGTTATTTAGTTTGAAAATTGGAGGAGATGATAGATGGTGGTCTTCAGTCGAAGGATCCACCAACATTTCATGGGCACCATTTTTAGCTAGCTTTCGAATTTTATTTGTAGCAGTCTTCAAGTAAAAGGAGCAAGCAAGTTTAATCAGTTTTATTAAAGTGTTCCCCATCAATGCAGATTTGCTTTGTTTTTGGATGGATGCTGTGAAATTTATTAAATTTAGCTATTAATGAAAGAAATTTATTGACATTTCAAGAAAAATAGTGCTACAAATACATTTATTTGTGATAAATTATTTTGATATATTTGTGAGTGAACAAGGAAAAAATGCGTATACCTTTTAACAAAGTGCACCAATTGTTTGTATAAATTAATGTAAACAAAGGAAGTCTGACAGATTGATTCAATATATTTGACATTCCATGTCACTCCTGATTTGACATCCTTTACTTCGAAATATAAATGATTTTGTCTATGTGTTAGTCAATGTCTAATAGACAATATATGTCTAATGAAACCATATTTTCACCGCTGAATTCAATTCGTTATTTAAAAAAAGAAAAAACTCGTACATACATATATTTTCAAAACAATACTTGTTTTCAATTTAGTCATATCATTATAGTTAATGACTGTTACCAATACACTTTGGTTCAGTAGAAACGTAAAACTTGGAGCGGTTCATTCATATAATTCCGTTATTTCAAAAAGTATCCACTGCGTGTACACTGTACACAGATGAAAAAGAAGCGAAAAAAATATAATATTGACTGTCAATTGCAAGAAAGATATTAAATTGAAAACAACATAAAAGAGTGGCATAGCAACACAACAATCGGATAATGTACGATTTCACCAAAATGATGGAAAATTGTCTATAAAAAATCAATGCTTTCACAACATCTTTCCAGCAATTTTGAAAAATATATTTTTTTGAAATAAAATTTGTAAAAAGACAATATTACTTTTCTGCACACCTAGTGTAGGAAAGGTATTTTTAGTATGTTTTTTTTCGTTTCTTATCATTTTGACGATGAAATTGTAATAGCCGATAAAACAATGTCTAATGGATCCATATTGTCAACATGGGTTCAAATGGGACGTATCGTAAAGTCTAGTCGGAAATGACATGGAATGTCAAATGTGTTTGAGTTTTTCAATTTTTTGTTTACATCAATTAATGCCAACAAGTGGTGCACCAAGGAAAGTATAAACATTTATTTCTGTCATCCCTTAAATTATAACGCGTTCATTTGCTGATAATTTTCAAGTCAAAAAAACTACACCTATTTGTTAATTGAGAATTCCAGTGTCAAATTCCAAAAAAAGTCATGACTTACCAAAGTGGTGCGAGAAAAAGGCAAAAACGACTCACGAAAGGGTTCAAAGTCAAAATGAACTTCAACCTGCCGGTCCTTCGAATGATGACCACCATCTATCATCTCCTCCAATTTTAAAACTGAATGGCCATTGTTTCGGTGAGCTATTCGAATATCTGTCGCTGCCACACTTGCATTCACTGTCTCAAACATGTAAATCCATACAAAAAATGACGGGCACATTTTACAAACATACTTACTCAGCCACTAAAATTGTGTGCGGCAATAAGGGAATTTATTTGATAAATGCACACACATCTAATCACGTCGTTGAACATATTCCAGTACCGGCATTCATTCAATATATTACCTCAATCGCGATCGAAAGTTGTGGACTGGGTCCATTTAAGTACATCGAATCGCACGGCAACCAATTCAATTCAGCCAAAAAGCTGCACCTATCTGATGTACGTTTGAATCCAGAGACAGTTACTTACATTCAGAATATTTTGCCAAAAATTGAAGTGTTACATCTACGGCACTGTACCGTTGATCAAGATCTGTACGATGTCCTTCTAAAATATTGTGAAAATGTGCATCGTATTTATATAAAATTTTCTGACATGAAATTCTAAAACAAACACAAATGGTTGCTGCAAAAGTATCCAAAGCTTGAGCATCTAGAATTGGGCATTTCATCGTCGCATTTAGATGAACTCGCCACATTTTTCGAACTTAATCCAAACGTTCGCAGTTTTTCGATGAGTACATTTTTGTTGTGGTGGCACAGAGATGAGCTACTCAAGTCAACGATATAATTAAACACATTGGGATTGAGAACTAGTTGCTTGGCGTGTATGGATAACAATAGTCACAATGTTAGATGGGCATGGGATTTGCTAAATCAACTTCGTAATCAAGGCTGCTACAAGCAATTAAATGTAAACGCCAGAATAATTGATGAACATGGAAACGATCAAATGGTGATCAAATGCAACGTGTTGATCAACTCATTGCAAAAGATTTGTAAATAGCATTGAACCGTTTTTGACTAATTTAACCGAATTTGCCGTTATACAAAGTGACTCCGATATTTCTAGGGCGGTGCTGGTAAGTAAACTTGTGAATTTGGAACGTCTTTCTTGGCAATTGCATCTGTCGATGATATTTTGCCATTCATTCAACAATCAAAACAGTTGAACAAAATTCGACTGATTCCGAGAGTCAATGAAAATTGCGGAGCTGCGTCGTACGACCCAACTGAATTTGAATATAAACCAGTAATTCTTAAGCTGTATATATTGAATGGCGAACGAGAAAAATTGGACGGAGCACGAAAGGTTGCGATTTTTGTTCCAGATGATATTTTCTTGGCAACAAAGTGGAATTCCAAAAATAGCGCCTACAATTTCAGATTTATTGCAATTGAACGAATCGATTCGTATGAATGGAATTTTCTTTGATGATTAATTTGATTCAATGCAATGACTTTAAGGCATGATGATTATGTAACGAATTGGTCCTTATGTTTAGAATTCAATTTGAAATCATGCAAAAATGTGTTTTTGATTATTCACAATAAAAAAAAATTGAGTTTTCTTTGTGTTTCGAATAAATTTTGAAATGTAATCATAAAAACTACAAATTTTCACTGGTTAAAATTGTATTTGCGGTATGATTGAAATCAAAATGATCAATTGAATGATGTCTAACATGTATGTATAACAATGACAACAACAATATAGGTATATAAGTGCAATGAAAGAGAAGCGCATTGTGCGTGAACAATTTTTTCGTGTTTTTTTTTATGTCAAAATAATGGAGAAAATAGAATCAAAACATTGAATTAACTAAATGATAAATAGAGGCGGTTGTAGTCGGTTTTGTTGTTTAATGCATGAATTTTCAAAATTTTCGGTTAAATAGTTCTTATCATTTTACATATTTAATACGTTTTATGTGGCTAACTGCTGTAAAATCAGATCGATAGCCGTAGGATGAGTGTGTTTTTAGTTGTCGAATTCGGCAATTTCAAAATTGACATCCAATTTAGCTTCACGGGCCAATTTAACGATGTCAGCCAAATAGACAGCCAAATGGGCGGCTTCATCTAAGTCATCGCGTGGCAAAATTCGAAGTTTTGAGTTTTTGATGAGTTCTTTGGCCTCTTCAACTTTTGTGCCCAATAAACGAACAACAATTGGTGTTTTGAGATTCAACTCTTTGGTTGCAGCAATGATACCCTCGGCAATCACATCACAACGCATAATACCACCGAAAATATTCACCAAAATTGAATTCACCTTTGGATCGGCGGTAATGATTTTAAAGGCTTCTTTAATCGCCTCGGCTGTGGCACCGCCACCAACGTCCAAGAAATTTGCTGGATCACCACCATGCAATTTAATAATGTCCATTGTTGCCATCGCCAAACCGGCACCATTCACCAAACAACCTAACATATTGAAAAACATATTATTTTCAAGGGGAATAATATTGATTTAATTAAAATTAGGGAACAAATTAGAAAAAGGCAGTCTACCAATGGCACCATCCAAAGCAATGTAATTCAAATCGAATTTCGTTGCAGCCACCTCCTTTTGATCTTCCTGAGTATAATCACGAAGTTTGAATAAATCTTTTTGTCGATATTCAGCCGTATCGTCAAATCGAAGTTTTGCATCCAATGCGAAGTCTGAAAATTTACAAACAAATATTATTAGATTTTTTTTTAATTATGAGATATTTCAGATTTATAAATTATTTGGACCATAAAATAAATGAAGGACATTTTTTTAAAATTAAATTTGAAATAAAAAGTTGAAAAAAATATTTAAATAAAATTAATTATTTTGATTTATTTTCGACGAAAAAATCAAAAGAAAATTGAAAAATATAATGATAAAATGAAGAATTTGCGGTGAAATTGAAAATTAGAAATTTCAAAAACAATCTTATCAATTTAACGTATTTTTGTGGAAATTTTTTAACGAAAATTCTGTTGAATTGAAATCTTATTTTTTTAACATTTGTTCCCCTTCATGTATATCCAAATTGAAAATTTTGAAAATTGCAATAATTCAAAACTTTTAATTTTTTTCTCGTAAAAATGTCATTTTGAAAATATCAAACTGATATCATAAAATTCAATTTTTTATTATATTCAATTTTCAAGCCTACCGCAAATTCTTTATTTTATTGGACTCAATTTTTATTCGATTTTTCAATCAGAAAATGTACAACTTTCACACATTTTTTCGTGGATATTTGATTCCGTCTTGTTATTTTTTTTTTTTTTTTTTCAAAAAACACGGATGAAATTCGTTTAGTGTATTTAAAAACTAAGCATTGCTTTGTACGAGAAAGTCAACATGGTGGCAACATCACTGTTCATTTGAGTGAATTGGAATTATGAAGAAAGTCACGTACATTTCAATGTAAATATGTTTGCGTCCTTTATAAAATAAAATATTAGCCAAGTTAACATGTGACTGTATAATTATAAATATAGTTGCACCCAAATGAAATATCATTTATTAAAATAGTCACGTGACTATTACAATATTTTTTGTAATAACAGCAAGCATGAAAATTCTCAACTCCAGAATATTAGACACTGATCAGATACAAATAACGTAAAATACCACACACTTACATTTGGAAGTGTCGAATGCATCTTCGGCGTATGGATTGATTTCAATCAAGAGTGCATCTTTTTTGACGAATAATTCGTACATGTTCAAAAGTGTTTTGGAAATTTGTTCGGAAACATTGCCCAATCCAAGTTTTTCGGCTACTTTCACAGCTTGTTCTTTTGTCAATCCCTTGACAATATCGATTGGTTCATAAAGAATGGCATCGGGATTTTCAGCGGCGACTTCTTCAATATTTACACCGCCTTGGGACGATGCAATAATGACGGGACCCTGAAAAATGTTCGAAATAATATGTTTTAGTCATTTGTTCTTGGCATTACATTGATCTCATATTAATATTAAATTTGGTAGGAAGAGTTTCACAAAATCCAGACTGTATACAGCCAGAGTAATAGAATAGAAGCACTTTTAATAAAAGAAATGGAACCGACTTGAAAAAAATTCCTATAATATATGAACGAAACTAAAAACAATAAATGTTCAGTCGATTTTTTTAAGCTATGAAGATAATTTTACAAGTTTCCGATTTTTTCCATTCAATACTCACATTAAATGCTCGTTCCATCATAACAGCCATATAAAATTCGCGTCTTGGGAATTTTCGTTCAGCGACCATAACTTTATTACAAATCCGTCCAGCGGCACCGGTTTGTTTAGTGACTAATATTTGGTTAATCATTTTACCGGACACTTGTTCGGCCTCTTCCGGTGAGAAAACAAGACGTACACCACCTTTGAAACCATTTTTGAATGCACCTTTACCACGACCACCGGCCAATACTTGTGCTTTCAATACCAAATTCTCGGTATTCAAATCGGTGGCAATTTTCTTTGCCTCACTGGTCGATGTGGCAACGCCGAATCTACCAATGAACAGTCGATGCAATTAGACAAAATGTATCTTTAAAAAAAATAATCGAAAAAGTAACAAACTTACTTCGGTGTCGGAATGCCAGCTTCGTTTAACAATGAATACGAGATATGCTCTTGTACATTGAGATTACGTCGTTGTATTGCAGCTCCCAAAACCTAGAATCACATTAACACAAATCAGTATCAGTTGAATGGCATTCAATTGTGTCTAATTCGAATTCTATTTATATTTTGGCACAACAACGGTATTGACACCAGCTGATCGTGACATACATCGTGACACGTTTGCACTCATTGAAACTGAATGAGTAAAAATACACCCGAACAACAACAACAACATGCAAGCCTTAAGATAGACAGTGTGCATGTGTGTATGAAGGAAAATTGGATAAATGTCATGCTCTTTACGTAACACTGTTCTATGTCGACTTTTTGTGCGTTCTTATTTTATAAATCGCAGAGAAAAACTTCCATTCGATAAAAATTGGATAATTTATTGCGACTCAAACACTTTGATTAGCATTAATTCGGTAACTGGTGCACTTTGGATCCAATAAATTAATGACACATGATACTTTTTTCTCTTTTTCTCTCTATACACGACCTTTGTCCGTCAAAACAATAGAAATAAAAAAATAATTCCAAGAAATTTAGAATTTACCTTTGGTGTTGTGTTTTTCACTAAACACTCAGCTAAAATTGCACCACGGCTCAACATTGACGCCATTTCACGATTGAATACAATTTATTTTTTTCGCTGAAAATAATCGACTTTGCTCTGTGAGGCAGGTAATGTGACTTATACTTGAAAAAAAAATTAGCTATGCCAAACCAAACGATAGAAAGAAAAAAAAACACAAACGTCAGAAGTGTCATGAATGTATGCGCTCTGTCATCGATGTATATGAGAAAAAATTACATCGATGTATGCAAAGCGGAGAAAAACGTTCAGTTTGCACAAATGTTTGGTTATGTCGATTTGAACGGTTTAAAGTGTGTGACATTTGGCGCTAAAACGAAATTTAGTACCAACACAATATGTACCAAGACAATGAACAACGAATTTATTAAAAATTAAATTGAATTTAAAACAAATATTCAGTTTTTGAAAAATAGATTTTTGTTTATTTGAAGAGATTTTTATGAATCTTTTCAATGTACAATTTCAATGAAAATTTGAAAATTCTGTTTGTACAAACTTGATCTATTTTTGAATTTTTTTGCAAAGAAATTTTGGATTTTTTTAATCCCTGAATAGTGTTGCACTATTTTTTATGTCAATTTTTCCCATGAAACTTATTGTTTAGCATACGTAATCTTCTACTGTATACAAAATGTTTTCCTTATCGAATGATTATCTTTGTTGAATGATGATTTGATATAATAATTTTTGACAATTACAAATTGGAGCTTTGGAAAAATACTTTCTTTGGATGAATTTTAATCTATCAAATTGTGTAATTCTCAATCTGGTCCTACATGGTATCAACAAAATGGTCCTACTTAAGCTATATCATTTCTCTTTGGATTAAATATGTGTTGGGTTAATATTGTGTTGGATTAGTTTCCATTCCGTGGATCTAATAATAATTTATTTAACAAACAATCATGCGTTACTTTTCCGTTAATTGTTAATTGCCAAGCCCAATGTGTACGTAGACCACTTAGAACCGTTTTTTCGTCACCTTGAATCTTAAGTTTTGTCAATGTAAGATCTAGGCATTCGGATATCTTATGAAGCATCATTATATATTTCACATGATGTAGTATCGATTGAAATTTCGGAAAACTAATCACTTCAAGTGATTTAACCATTTTACCAAAACATCGAAATAGATCGACTGTTGTTTTATAATCTTTTATCACAATTTCGCCATCGTTTATGTCGTACATACGTTGATTGGTCGTAAAATGGCTGGTTATGCAAACGGTTGACTTTCGATACTTCCACCAATAATAAATTTGGGCCATTTTTCTTCCATATTTGCTGACATCAGCTATGCTTAAGAGATCGATCAGATTCAAGCGTTTGAAGATCGGCTCAAAAATGTCGTAGGGCATATCGGTTAGCGTCAGCTTGGATTTAAGCTTGGAATTTTGATTATCGTCGAGCCTCAATTTTTTCAATGGTACGAGAGGTTTCATCGCGGCAATTTTTAGCGCATCGTACTCAATGTTGTTGCCACTTGCATTGTGCTTTCGTTTTCGGCTTTGACCTGAAATAAATAAAATTTGTAATTGATTTTAAGAAAAAAAAAATCATTCCATATACCTTCGGATGGTGCAGGATGGTGCTCTACCTCATACCCACCGAACTCTAATGCGATTATGTCAATTCGTTTCAGCCTCGACTTTTGATTATTCATGATTTTTCGGCTAAAAAAATGATGACACATAAGATGAGAACACTCGGTTTTCAATCGAATCAATTGAGATATTTCCACAAAATATTATACGTACCGCAAAAAAAAAATCAATATTATATATTCACAGTTTTGACAGCGTCGAAATTGTGTGAGACTTTTCTCACGAAATCAATAATTGTGAAATTGATGTGCGCTTTGTACGAGTAACAAATTCCCCTTTGTATCACAACATTTGACATGTCAAATTCGATTTTTCGATTGACAAGCGCAGGGTTGACCAATTTATATTGGACGGAATGAACGGTTCAGGGTAGTATATTTTAAATGATTTAAGCGGTATTTTAACTTTCATATGGGATTTTTTCGGTTTCGAATTTTTATTCGGATAAGATATTTGAACAGTTGCCATTACAATAAAATAATCATCGATTTGAAACAGCAGCTTGTTTTATTATTATTAACTGTTTTTTTGTCAACGAACTTTTTTCACAAAAATAGCCTTTTAATTTATCTCGTCTTCTTTTTTCGTATAATTATGTAGATATTGGTTTAACTTTGTGCTTGTATTGGTTTAATTCATTCGACGAAAATAGACAACAATTTTATACTGCACGCGCGCGTGTGTCAATCGGTCGAATATGGCTTGTTTATAAACATTGTGGGCAAAATATGAGTATTGAGAGGAATTTTACCGGATTTTGTGAAACACTTGACGCATATGAAATGACGTGTTGTTTTTGTATAATTTTTTCATATATTTTGAATTCAAAAATTTCATCACCAGACACCGATAAACTTAGCCTTTGGGCTATGATATCATTAACTCAATACATATTTAATACTTCGAAGTCATTGATGAAGGAGTGCATTTGTTCATTTTACTTTCTCATAAGCAGAACAATTGTGAACATTTGTTTCGGTTCAAATTTTGAACGATTTCAAGTTTAAGGCATGGGAAGATTTTTTTGAGTCAAATTAAATTCGGTTCTTGAAAATGTCGATTGAAAATGTGTGAAAGTCAAGCAATATTGGTAAAAGTCGGAAATCAAGTCGGCCTATTAAACGGTGAAATGGAAGCACAAAGAAAAGAGCAATCTGTTTTTGAAGTGAAGAGAGCGACAATTTTCAAACTAAATATCGATTGTTTGGAGGAAATATTTGAGTATCTTTCCTTGGACGATGTAAAAGGATGCACACATTGGCCGGCCAATATTTCAAGCGAAATTATGCCGCGGCAAAAATCTATCTCATACATAATGGTGTTTATATGAACCGTGCCGTCCAGTATCAACGTCAATTTGATCGTTTCATGGAGCTCATATACCGTTCAAT